CATGAAGGATTCAGACTAACACGTTCACCTCAGCATTCACATCCCAAACCGGAAACCCCACCACCAGCCGCGGCGAATGGACATCCACACGGTGTCTTGCTCCTCAGCAACGAAAAGGAACAAACTACTGATGGGGCCGTGGGAGCCTCGCAGCGCGTGCGCGGGGAAGAACGCCGACAGCGTGCGTGCGGCGACTCCATCCGCCAGGCCTCCTGGGAGGACAGCGCTCAGGGGCGGAGCAGCTGGGCCGGGCAGGGCTGACCCACGGCCGCGGGACTCTCCCGGGGACGGAGCTGTTCTGGGGGGATGTGGTGGTGAGGGTCTGAGCGGACGTTCCTCAGAATTCTCACGTGGCACCCTGATTCGGTGCCTTCTGTTGTATGTGAGTAAATGTACCCCATAAAGCTTTCACAAAGAAAACAGGAAACGCACTGGACTTCCACACCGGGGCGGAACCCAGACAGCCCATCCTCAGACGGGGCCCTCCTGGCGGCTGAGCCCAAGGGCCGTGTCCCCTGGACCCCTACCTGATGCCGCAGAGCCGGGTCCAGGTGGGGCCTCCCTGGGAAGGGGCCCCGGGGACGGGTCCCTGGCAGAGAAATGGTTGTTCTCCCCGCTGTTGCCTGGAGCAAACTGGTGGGGAGTAAGAACATGAGAAGACACGTTAGCATCTCAAGCATCACGTGACCAAATAACTGGGAGATCTTTACCGTCACCCGTTACACAGAATGAAGTGCCAGGGGTAACTGAGACGCGGAGCAGGTCAGCCTGGCCCTGAGAATGGGGCCAAGTCCCTGTGTATGTAACTGTCAGGTACCACTGAGTGGTGAGCACCTATGACACGCCACAGCACGTGCTGGCGGGCGCTTTAACACGTCTTGTCATTCAGAAAAGATGTGAACTTCTGTGTGTTCTAAGCAGTGTCCCAAACCCCAGGAATAGAAGGTGGACGAAGCAAAGACCCAGCCATCTTGATCTCCTGGGGGAGGACTCCATAGTGTGACTGCATTTAATCCTCAGGGTAAGCCAGGAAGTATTAATCCTTCCGTTTTTCAAAGATGTAGCAAAGGCAAAGGCAGGCTAAATAACGTGCCTCCACGAACCCAGCTAACAGGTGACGGGCTGGGATGCGGGCCTGTCTTGTCCGGCGGCCCAGGCTTCGCTCGCCGGCCCCGCCTGGCCTTGGCGTCCGGCAAGCGCACTGGGGCCAGGCTTCCACCCCGAGCTCCCTGCCTGACCCGGGCGGGCGGACTGTCCTGATCTGACGTTAAGCAGGCGCTCTGCCTGGGAGGGAAGCGAAGGAACTGCAGGCTCACGCTCGTCCTGGCTCCTGCCCACCGGCTCCCTGGTCATCGGAGAAGCCCTTTCAGGGAAAGGATGACAAGTTAAAGGAAACTGACTCAAAGCCCTCATTTCTGAAACTGACAAGCACACATGTGAAACTCTGAACTGCCCGCTGAACTGATGATGCCGGCAGCCTCCTACCCGCCCCACACACAGCTGCCGTCCCGTGACTGTGCTCGAAAAAGTGGCATTACTGGAGTCATGCCTTGTCAGCATGGCTTACTCCTGTCTAACAGACCACACCTCAGCTGTAGGTAAGAAAACGCACTTTAGACACAATGAACATCTTGAGTTTAGTGCTCGGATGTCAAGTTTTAAAGGAGGAAAAACTTAGTTGCTATAGAACATCTGAAAGCACTTTGGGAAACCACACAACACGTCTAAGCAGCCAGGATGCAGCAGCTTCTCATTCCGCTTCACACCAAGTCCATGTTTCCGGAGCCCAGCGCTCAGCCTCCGCCACAGCTGTGCTGCGCCCAGCGAGGCCCTCTGCCCGACCCTCTCCAGTTGTGTGCAGAAGCCGGTTCACTCACAGGCTCCGCCTCCGGGCCCACAATCTCACCTGCTCTGCAGACTCGCAGGACGGGGGCCTGTCCTCCTGCAGCAAGGCCAGCTGCAGCGGCGAGCTGCCCCTGGAGCTGGGGCCCGGGCACCCTGCGCTCTGCATCTCCCAGCTCTGCCCAGCGCCCCTCTGGGTGGTGACTGGAAATGGTGGTTCCACACTGGGAGCTGCTGTTGGTACTGAGGGTGGCGTTTCAGAAGGGCCTGCTGCTCCCAAATACAGGTATGGAGAGAACGACGGTGCCCACAGAGGGCACACAGAGGGGCCAGGCAGCACAATGGTTAGGAAAGTCTCCGCGTAAGGTGAAGGCACATCTGGGAAAGGCGGGCAGTGCCCCCCCGGGGCCACGGTGGGCAGGGGCAACGCTGGCATGAGGTAAGGGAGGGCCTGGCCGGGAGCCACCACCGCCGCCGGGAACGCCAGGCCGGGGGCGTGGAGAGGGGAGGCAGGGGGCAGGCTCCAGGGCTGAGCGTCCTGGACGTCCCTTCCGAAGTGGGGACAGCAGGCGTCCTCCGCACACCGGCTGCCCAGCGGCTCCGGCAGCTTCTTCCGCTTGTGCTTCCCCTTCTTGCCCCCAGGAGACCTGGCCTGCCCGGGAGAGGAGGCTCCTGAGGACAGAGGGGTGCAGTGAGGAAACCGCCCGGGAGGGAAGGCTGCCGCGCAGGTCCCGCAGGGAGAGGCCATGCTGCCTCCGTCACGCAGCCGCAAGCGCTGCTACAGGACAAACTCCTTTCAGCTCTCGCTCGGCCCTCACCCGTGTCCCCACCCCCACCTCCCAGCGCGGACACCCGGCTGTCAACTGAGGGCTCGTGGGCCAAAGGAGTGTATTCTAAGGACTTGAACTACCTTGACCATCTGAACACGTGGCCTGCCCTCTGCCTTCGTGCTGCAGGTAGGAGCTGTAGGGGGAGGACAGCATCTTCTCCCGGAACCTGTCCACGTAGTCCTGCTCCTCCCTCTGCGTGTGCGCCGACAGCACGGCCGTGGTGAGCCCCACGTGCTGAAACTCCTCCGCAGTCAACGGGGCCGGCAGGGTGCCGGGCGCCCAGGGCTCGCAGGCGGGGGCGGCGTCCTCAGCGGGAGTCGGTTCTGCTGAGGTGGGAGAAGAGAGGTTAATGGTAATTGCTACCAACTATTTGCATTTATTTTCACCAACTTAATGACCTTTTGATAAGTTTTACAAACACTGTTACAATAGCTGGAATATAAAAAATTCCATCAACTAGCACATGCTTTTATTTTTTTCTGCCTGTCTTTACACTGTTTGGATGCCTGTATAGATGCTTTACAGCACTGTAATACTCAATGTGTAGAGGCCCGGTGCACAAAAATTTGTGCACTGGTGTGTGTGTGTGTGTGTGTGTGTGTGTGTGTGTGTGTGTCCCCTCAGCCCGGCCTGCGCCCTTCTGCAGTCTGGGGCTCTCGCAGTCCAGAACCCCTCGCTCCTTACCGCCCGCCTGCAGTGGAGGTGGGAGAGGCTCCCGCCACCGCCGCTGCCCTCGCCAGCCATGGGCCCGGCTTCTGGCTGAGCGGTGCTTCCCCAGTGGGAGCGCACTGACCACCAGGGGGCAGCTCCTGCACTGAGCACCTGCCCCTTGGTGGTCAGTGTGCATCACAGCGACTGGTCATTCCGCCAGTCATTCCACCGTTTGGTCAATTTGCATATTAGGGTTTTATTATATAGGATTAAAATCTTGCTTTTATTGTAAATATCTATCTCCCTGAACTCTTTAAAATGTTTCTTTTTTATCTTTTAGTTTTTAATCTGTAATGTATTCACATGGTTAAAAATGAACAGGCGATCTTTGGCTCATTACCAACGCCACCTAATCCCACAGCAGTTCCGTCTCCGGTCTTTCCCACCAACCACAGTTCGCCTGCCAGGACTGCGCTCTCCATCTCCAAGGGGGTGTGAGCTCCGAGGACCTAAATCTCTGCGACGGACTAAGGACAGGGAGTGTACACAGTCACCTCAGCACGTGCTAACTCACCACGGAACTAGCACGGTCACCTCAGCACGTGCTGACTAACTCACCACGGAACTAGCACGGTCAGCTCAGCACGTGCTGACTAACTCACCACGGAACTAGCACGGTCACCTCAGCACGTGCTAACTCACCACGGAACTAGCACGATCAGCTCAGCACGTGCTGACTAACTCACCACGGAACTAGCACGGTCACCTCAGCACGTGCTAACTCACCACGGAACTAGCACGGTCAGCTCAGCACGTGCTGACTAACTCACCACGAAACTAGCAAAGATAAATTAGAGCTCATCCGAAAACCTGATTTAACACGTCACTATTTCTTCACCCACCAAATTGTTATGAGTAACGAAAAAGTCAAAGAATAGGAGGCCGTAAAACGGAATAAGAAGAAGACATCATCCAAGTAATTGACCAAGTCATTATACTGTTAAAGGAGCGTGGTCAGACCCACATGGAACTCCCTGCGTATACGTATGATCTCTCTAGGCCGACGACAGCCCAAGTTTGAAACCTCTTTCCAGGTCAACAACGCGGCCTAAGCTGCATTAGTGACTCTAGTTGAGGGACGTAAGAAATACAGTCCAAAATGTATGTACACAGATAACCAGCGTGACACTTCCAAAAGCGGAGAAGTTACTACTAAGTAAACGGTACAAACGACCTTCTCACAGTAGCGTATCCGTGTGGAGTGGATCTGAGGTCAAAGGTGACTGGTACCTGGCTCTGGGGGCGGCGCGTGGACCATGGTGCTGCTGTAGCTGCACTGGCTGATGCCGGAGCCCAGGCTCGGCGCCGCCCTGGCCTCGGTCCGCGAAGCTCCGCCCTCGGCACCGGTGGACCGTCCGCGAGCTGGCACTTCTGGTGAAGGGACCGATGGGATCCGAGACGCAGCTGGGGATGTGAGAGAGACTGACAGTGAAAAGAAAAACTCCCGAAAGGAAGTTTATGTTAGAGACCAAATGGCTTACAGACATTTATAACATAAATAACAACCTCTGGGCCATAAAGAGGACCGTGGAGCTCGGATCATGTGTGATTACAATGAAATATTGGAAGTTGGAAAATTACAGAGAAACAGAGGGCAGGGGTGGCTTTGCCGTGACTTTTTATCCAAGTACGAAGGGCGTCCCCGCTACCTCGCACGGCGTGGGCATCGTCTGCCTTGTGGGCCTGCCGGTCGTCTTCCGAGGACGAAGCGGTATTTGTGCAGGAGATACACTTTCTCTTCAGAGCTGGGGTGCGGCAGCTCCTCAGGTATCTGCAAGGACAGCACGAGGGACAGGCTGAGGGCGGGACTCCCCCCGACCCCTAACGGCCTCTCCCTCTGCTTTTCTCACACCACTTCTGTTTGGGAAGCATGTACTTCCTTTTATGTGTTTGTGTATTGAGTACATCTGACAAGTAACATTGCATACACCTAAGGCAGTGATGGCGAACCTTTTGAGCTCGGCGTGTCAGCATTTTGAAAAACCCTAACTTAACTCTGGTGCCGTGTCACATATAGAAATTTTTTGATATTTGCAACCGTAGTAAAACAAAGACTTATATTTTTGATATTTATTTTATCTATTTAAATGCCATTTAACAAAGAAAAATCAAGCAAAAAAATGAGTTCGCGTGTCACCTCTGACACGCGTGTCATAGGTTCGCCATCACTGATCTAAGGTGTCCAGTGTGTACTCTGACCTGTTTACAAAATGTCACATTATCGCCTGCGCAGAGCTATTGATCACCTTCCACAAGAGAACGCCATGTTACTGTGTGTGTTCACCGTACTGTCTGTGCCCTTACACACCCTCCACGGCTTATTCACACTCATGAGACGTCTGTGCCCTTACACACCCTCCACGCTGCTGCAGGCGGGAGGACAACTTCCTTCCTCTCGGCTGAATAACATCCGACTGTGCACAGACCACACTTTAAATCCACGGTTGTTTCCGTGTCCTGCTATCGTGACGATGCTGCGATAAACATGGGAGTGCAGCTATCTGGCCAGAACCCTGTTTTCATTTTCTTCGGGTACAGAGCGGAAGTTGAACGGCTGACTGTATGACAGATTTTTAATTTTTGATCAGCTTCCATACTGCTTCCCACGGAGGTTGATCTACGTTTCCACCAGCAACGTGGAAGCTTCCTTTCCACATCCTACTTCTCGTCTTCTCGATGGCGCCCACCCTAACCGGTGGGAGGCGCCACCTCGTTCTTGTGGCTTTGGTCTGCTTGTCCACGATGGTTAGCGATGTCGAGCATCATGTCATGTGCGTGTTGGCCATTCGTGTCTCCTCCTTGGAGAAATGTCTGTTTAGTTCTTCTGCCCATTTTTAGCTCAGACCGCCTTTTGTTGTTGCTGAGTTCTTCATACTTTCTTGACATTAACCTCTTAGTGACGCGGGGTTTGCAGCACGTTCTCCCGTTCCGTAGGCCATCTGTTCGTCTTGTCTCTGATGTGCCTGTGCAGAAGCTCTGGGGTTGGATGTGTTCCACTTGTTAGTATTTGCTGTTGTCCATGCTTTTGGCGTCATATATATAAAAAAATCACTGCCAAGCATAGATCGGTGAGCTCCCTCCCCGTCTTCCCCCAGGAGTGTAACGGTACCAGGTCCTATGTTTCAGTGCTGCCCGTTTTGAGTTAATTTTTCTGAGTGTGTTAGACAGGGTCCCCTCTCATTGTTCTGCACGTGTTTCTCCAATTTGCCCAGCAGTCTGCTAGAGGAACTTTCCTTGTTCTGTCGGGCCCTCTCGGCTCCCTTGTCAGATGTTAACTGAACATACACACCAGGATTTGACTTTGGGCTCTCCGTTCTGTCCCAGTGGCCCATGTGTCTATTTGTGTGCCTGTGTCGCACTGTTTTTATGACTGTAACTCTGTAGTATAGTTTGAAATCTGGAAGTGTGATATCTCTGAATGTCTTTTTTCCCCCTCAGAATTGCTTTGGCTATAAGGGGTCTTTTGTGACTCCACAAGAATTTTAGATTGTTAATTTCTGGAAAGAATGCCTTTGATGGGGATGGCACTGACTCTGTAGACAGCTTTGGGTAGTCTGGCCCATTAACAATATTAATTTTTCCTACCCATGAACACGGGCTGTCTTTCCATTTGCTGTGTCTCCAATTTCTTTCAGCAAAGTCGTGTAGTTCTCCTGGTACAGATCTCTCACTTCCGTGATTAAATTTATTCCTAAGCATTTTATTGTTTGGATGCTATCATTTATTTTTCAGGTGCTTTGTCTTTAGTAAAAAGGAAAGCAATTGATTTCCACATGTTGATTTTGTATCCATCACTTTACTGAAACTGTAATTCCAACAGCTTCCTGACTCTGGGATTTCCGACATACAAGTTCATATCATAGCTAACAGCACCAATTTTACCTTTTCTTTTCCAAATTGGATGCCTTTTATTTTGTTGTCTTGCTATTTGCTTTAGCTAGGACTTCCAGTATTATATTGATTGTTGTTACTGAACTTAGAGAAACCACTTTCAATTTTTCTCCAGTATGTTAGCTGTGAGTTGTTGTATACGGCCTTCACTATGTTAAGGTATGTTCCTTCTATACCCAATCTGTTAAGGGTTTTTATTATAAAAGGACGTTGTATTTTTCAAATGCTTTTTCTGCATTCCAGGGATAAATTCCACTTGGTCATAGGATATAATCTTTTTAACGTATAATTAGCTAATATTTGTTGAGAATTTTTGCATCTACATTCATCAAGGGTATTGGTCTACAGTTTTCTTTCCCTGTGGTACCCTTACCTCTTTTGGTAGCACAGTAACGCTGACTGCCCCTTCCTGGATCACCCTTCCTCTTCGGTTGGCTTTCTGCGTGGTACCCGATGGCGCTCAGAGGGCTTATGCACTTTTAAAAAATCGGAGTTCTCGCTTTCCTTCAGCCTTCATCACTTCCAGATTCCCGTCTCGCACCTCATTAACCAGCTCTTCCATCTGACCTCCTACATTTCCAACGCCTGCTTTATCTCATTCATTGAAGTCTTCAGTTCCAGAGTTAGTGTGGTTATTTTTTGGAATTTTAATCTCTTTGGTGAAGTCTTCCTTCTGTCTTTAACTTCACTCCTGAGAGCATGGCACTGCCCTCTGAGCTCTCTGCAGCTTGAATTTCTTCCCAACAGCTGCTTTGGATTCCCGACCAGTTCGATGCCTTTCGGGTGGAGCTGGCTGCTGGGAAATGGCTATTTCCTTTCTGTGATCCTGCACTGCGTGCTTTTCATGGTGTTTGATGAAAAGTGCACCCCACTGCATCTGAGGCAGCAAACACCGTTCTCATTGAGACAAGGCCTGGTAGATTCTAACAGTTCAACAGGTTGGCAATTAGACGCTTCCTTTCATTGTCCACAAGGTGGGGATACGGCCATGTTTTTGGTTTGTCCTACCTGAGCTAAGGTTGAGAGTACATGCATTTTAACAAAGCTGCCAAAAGAGAAAACACAAGGGCGGGAGCAGAGCGGGGAGAACTGTGTACTCGGCACTTGGGGCTTTAGTGTGCCCTGGCCCGACAGAGAGAGGCTCAAGTTGGGGTGGGGTCCCCAGAGGTTTGTGGCAGAACTCTTGCCGGAATCCTGGGCCCTTTCCTTCAGTTCTCTCTCCTGCCTACTCCCCATGGCTTTCCCTGCACCCCCCAACCCCCACCCCGTCACTGTGGTCTCTCCTCAGAGAGCAGAGATCCCTTCAACTGCAGACCCAGGGCTGGGCCGACCCCCCTCCCCACCTTCACCCTCCACATCCTCTGCCACAAAGGTCCTGCCTGCCCATGGCACTGCCCTCTCGCTGCCACTCCTGTGTCCACGCCACCCACTCTCAGGTGCACAGGTGGGTGGATCTCTCGGTGTCCGGTCTGCTGTGCGCGGCACTTTTTACGGTGATGGATGTCCAGTTCGTTGGAAATTGAAGGAGAGAGAAAAAGCAACTCCCGCTCCCAAGCTGCTGACTTGCACTTTCTTTTGATGGGGTCCTCCCTGGCCATCGGCCGGAGTCACTGGTGTTCCCTCTCTTTTCCCACGGTCCTGAATTGATCTTCACATCTTACATCCTCTCCATTCGACAAGCAGAGGCCTTGTCTTCTCAACCATTCCTTCCAAACCAGGAATGCATCTTCTAACTGTCTGCACCCCCGAATGCTGAGCATAGTATGGATGGTATGTGAGGGGCAGTCCATGGTATCTACTGATTTACAGTGAAAAATCAAGCCACAGCTATTAAAAATGACACAAGGGCTCCACAGGGCCACGTATGCCTTTGGAAAAACATGTTCTCAAAACGCGGGCTTCCTACCTGATGACACCGTCGATGCAGTTGATTTGCTGGTAGGAGGGGCGATGCTGGTCTTTCCTCAAACCCTGGCAAGACTCAGTGCGCACGCTCTCATTCTTCCAGGGCCGTACGGGAGAAAAGGCCTCCTGCTCACCTAAAAGAGAATCAAAGTATGTACAATTACAAGTGCATTATTTTTAAGAACATATACGGATTCAGCAAGATTAAATCATGGTAATTTAGAATAAATATATTCAGTAGAGTATCATGCAGCCATTAACAATGAGCACAGATCTAAATGCACTGACACAGAAAGGTGTCCACATAGAAGGACTGCATGAAGGACTACATTACGCCATTAGTTAGGTCGTAGCCCACGCTATCTTGGGTTCCCTCTACATTTTGGGGTGGGATGAGGTGTACAGATCTATGGTTTTTAACAAAAGCACAAAAAGCTGCGTATCCACCACCAGAGTAAGAAACTGAACATTTCCGTCACTCCGACAGCTCCCTCCCCCTGCTCTCTTGTAGTAGATTCCTTCCCCAGTGTTAACCAATACTGATGTTTTCCAAATGGAAACAGACAGTATGTCATCTTCTGGTTCTGGCTTCCTTCATTTAGCAAAATGCACTGAGGACCCTGTGTGTGTGAATGCAGCCCCTCCTGTGTGTTGGGAGGATTCCATCATGTGGGCGTGTCACAGGCCACCCCCTCACCTGTGAAATGACATCGACGTTGCTTCCTAGTTTTGGCAAGCGGGAATAAGTGTGGTAAACATTCAGACTGTTTCTGTAGGACCTTGAGTTTTTATTTCACTTGTGTGAATGACTAAGAGGGAACTGCTGAATGATATGGTAAGAGTATGTTTAACTTTATAAGAAACAGCCTATTTTTCCAAAGCAGCTGTACAATTTTACCATTACCTTCAGGAATATGTGAGAGTTTCAGTTACTCTGAAATCTCGCCAGAACTCGGTATTGTCAGTTTTTTCTTTTAATTTCAGCCTTTCCAATAGGTGTGTGATGGTATTTCAGTTTTAATTTCCTAACAGCTAATGAGATTGAGCATTTTCTTTTCATATATTATTTTCCATCTGTATAACATCTGGAAAACTGTTAGGCTCCCTTGATAATTTTAAATTGCATTATCTTCCTATTGCTGAATTTTTGAGAGTTCTTGATATATTCTGGATAAAAACTATTTCATGTATAATTTGCAAATATTTTGTCTTTTCACCATCTTACTGAGGGCTTACCAAAGTCTTTCAAAGAGAAGTTTTTAATTTTGACAAAGTCCAGTTTATCTTGATGACTACCCCACATGCCCTTGAGAGAAATATGCACTATGTTCTTGATTGAAGTGTTCCGTAACTTCGACGAGGCCAATCCTGTTGACAGTTGTTCAGGTGTCATGAATCTTTGCTAGTCATCTACTTGGCTCACTGATTTCAGAGAGAGGTATGTGGCATGTTCCAGCTATCGCTGTGGATTTGTTCCTCTTGAAGCTTTTACCAGCGTTTGCTCTGTGCATTCTGAAGCTCTGAGGTTCAGTACGGAGGTGTTTAAATTGTTACGCTTTTAGAGAATCGACCCTCTGGCCGTGCAATACCCCCTGAAGCCCTGCTCACGCTCCTGACTCCCTGTCCATTCTGCCTGACCTAATGCAGCTCCCCAGCTTTCTCTGATCCTTGTTGGCACAGTATCTTGGCCTTTTGTTCTTAACCGGGTTTTGTTTTAAAGGATGGATTCTTATAGGTGACATACATCTGCATCTTCCCTTTCCATCTACTTTGATCGTTCCCATCTCCTAACCGGTAAACTGCGTTCACGGTCAGTGTGACTACTGATACAGCTGGACTCATACAAACCATCCTGCTAGCTGTTTTCCACCTGTTCCAGCTGGTTTATCACATCTCTTTTCACCTCCTTTTTATGCCTCATGTTGGGGTGTTTTAAATTCTATTCTATCTCCTCTACTGACATTATTTCCACTTCTTTAAAAACGTTTTGTAATAACTGTCCTAAAGTCTACAATATATGTCATTAAGGATCCAGTTTCTACCTCCAAATGACGCCTACTTCAGGTGCACGTTAAGGACGTTACGATGGTACCGCCCAGGGCCTGCGGTGTTTTCACATGAACCACAAATGCGAACACGGCTTTTGTTTCTGTCAGTTGTCTTTTAGAACGATTAAAAATAAGTGAAAAGTAGAACTGACTTTACCTTCATTTATTCTATTTCCAGTGCTTTTCATTACTTTGTATGGATTTGAGTCTTAAGTCTGTATTGTATTTCTTTTACCGTTAGAAACCCCGTTAGCATTCCTTACGGAGTAAATCTGCTGGCAATAAGTTCCCAGTTTTTATCTGAGGAAATCTTCACATCTCCCTCACCTCTGAAAGGCAGTTCCCAGCAGGTGAAAACTCTACACCGACCGTTTCTCCTTTGAAGACTCTATTGTCTTCTAGGCTGCACGGTTCCTGCAGAAGTGTCGGCTGTCATCCTGACCTTTGCTTCTCTGGACATGACCTGTGCTTTCCTCTGCTGCCTTCAAGCCGGTCTTTTTCTTTTCAGCAGTTTGACAGGGCTATGCTCCAGTGAGTGCTTTTATTCGTGGCGGATGTTTTTCTTTTTTCTGTTTTTGGTGTTTCCACTACTCAGTGTTCTTCGGAAAACCTTGGCCATCACTTCTTCAAGTCTTTCTTGTGAGACTCTAATTATTCATCTGGTAGAACACTTGATACTGTCCCTCAGTTCTTAAGATGCTCTAGTCTGTATTTTTATTTCTCGCTGCATTTCGGTTTGTGCAGTTTCTATTTTTCTATCTTCAAATTGACGGCTTCTTTTCTCAATCGAGTGCCCGTCGCAGGCATATATTCTCCTCTGTCTAGCACTCCTAGCTCTGCCATGTGGTCGTGTCCGCTCCATCTCCATGCCGTGATGGCCCAGGGAGGCCTGCATGTTGCCTACTTTGTCCATGAAAGCCTTTAATGTGTTGTTCACAGTTATGTTAAATTCCCCGCCCGAGTGTCCCAGCACCTGTGTCATCTCTGACTTCATCTAACAACTGCTTTGTCTCCTGGGAGTTTTTGCTTTTCCATTTGCTTTACCATCTGTTGAAAGGTGAACATCTTCCTCTTTTGATGGAAAAGGACCGTAGAGACTGGGTGCGTCCCCCCTGCTAGCCCTGTGTTTGAGTTAATCTTGTTAAGGTTTAGGCCCGGGTTCAGGTGGGCTGTTGCCACGGTTTTGCTTGATGTGCTAGGTTTCCGATTGCTCTGAAGACACGCGGTGCTTCAGGGGGTGCTGTTTGCTGGACGGCTTTTTCCAGTGTTTGCTCCACTGTCAGCTTTTGGTCTTCCCTTGCATCGCGCCTCAGAGAACGTCTGTCTCTTGCCAGTTACTTGCTTCAGTTCCCAGCGCACGGCACCCAGTGCACGCGTCCCCTCTCCCTGCAGGTGTGGTCTCTCCTCAGAATCGGGCCTGCTGGCCGCCCTGGATCCTCAGCACCGACAGGTGCAAGAAAGGCCAGGAGCCTGACAGGTGCTGCTCAGTGGCTGAGCGTCGACCACGAACCAAGAGGCAGCCGGTCTGATTCCTGGTCAGGGGTTATGCCCGGGTTGTGGGCTCCATCGCTGGAGGGGGTTGTAGGAGGCAGCCAATCAGTGATGTTTCTCTCTCACGGATGTTTCCACCTTCCTATCCCTCTCACTTCCTCTCTCTCTAAAAATCAATAAAAACATCTCAAAAAAGAAAAGGAAGACCATGAGCTTGCGGTCCATCTGGCTTCTTTCCTCTGCGTTTGGAATGATGCTCACCCCAGCTCTCCCTGCGCAGAACCAAACTCGCGCTCTCTCTGAGTCACTTCCGTTTACAGATCGTCTGTTTCCACTCGGGCATCGCATCCGCCCCGAAGAGGGACGTTCAATGTTCCCTAACTCCCCAGTTACTGCGCCGGCACTGGCTTCGGTCCATGGAGCTGATGAAGGGCTTTCTCTCTTTGTTGCTCCTTGCCCCTCCACAGGAAGTTCTAAAGTGTCCCTTCTTACTGTTCTTTACAGTGTAGCCTGCCCTTGTAAGAAAGGTAAACCCCAAAACCTAACCCCGACGTGCCTGTTGGCTCAGCACCCTGTACATAACGCTGCGCACAATGACCATTTAGTGTTCCACTGGTGTGAATCACCACTCAACTTCTAATGTTCAAGATGTAACATTTTATTCTTACGTTGCGTACTTATTTCTCTTGAGTAAGGAGCACCAGATTTTTTTTACTAGGTTCTTTAAGGTTGTAGGTTTTAAATGTTAATAAAATCAAGATGCCCAGCCAGTGTGGCTCAATGGCTGAACATCAAGCTATGAACCAGGTCACCCGTGCCTGGGTTCCGTGCTTGAGCCACAGTAGGGGGCGTGCAGGAGGCAACCAATCAATGATTCTCTCTCGTCACTGATGTTTCTATCTCTCTCTCCCTCTCCCTTCCTCTCTGAAATCAATTACAATATTTATATCACATGAGTTCTCCAAGTCATACCAAATGGCAATGGATTTTCCTTCCCCGCAAAATCCCATCCTATGTGTGTCCGAGTCAAGTGCAGCATAAATATAAGGAGCAGGAAAATTTCAGTGTCTAAAATAGCAGCACAGGTACACAGTGAGGCCCAGCTTAACCTTTATCCGATGACACACGACGGCAGACTGAGGTCTGCTGAAATACTCAGCCTCCAAACACCAGTCCTGATGTGTTACCAGGCGACGGGCGGGAAGAAGCTGAGCAAAGCAAAGCAGGAATCGAGAAAGGTCTCCACTCGGAGAAAACACAGAGGTCAGGACACCCAACTGTGGCACCAACACGAGGCCGAGGCCAGGGCAGCCCGAGGGGCACTGACTCGACCAGATGACAAAGAAAACAGTCACAAAATGTCGATTTAAAATCTACCCAAAGACTCTTCTCTGCCAAGACATGGGATAGTGATTCGCATCAAGAAAGATGTTTAAGCCCTAGCCAGTTTGGCTCAGTGGATAGAGCGTCGGCCTGCGGACTGAAAGGTACCAGGTTCGATTCCGGTCAAGGGCAGGTACCGTGGTTGCGGGCACATCCCCAGTAGGAGATGTGCAGGAGGCAGCTGATTGATGTTTCTCTCTCATCGATGTTTCTGACTCTCTATCCCTCTCCCTTCCTCTCTGTAAAAAATTAATAAAAATATATTAAAAAAAAAAAAGAAAGATGTTTGAGACGAACTCTCCTGTAGAGAGGAAACCTGATGGTTTCAAGGGACAGGAAGAGCTGTGCCTTCTACTTGTGCCCTGACGTCCACAGAGGAAAGAGAAAGCCTCCACCTGGTGAAGAACACAGGGAGCACGGACTTGCTAACCCCGAGGGCACCCTATGGCTCCGGTGAGATCACTGCAGCGCAGGAGTCTGATGTTTGCTGTGCAGATCATGCCAAGGCCAAAATACAGCGGCCACTGTCACGGACCTTGGAGACAATGTCACCTCTACTCTGAAACAGCCACACTGACAATGACAGAGACCATGGGTCACACTGAGGTGCCCCAAATCTGTAACGACTCCCAAAATTATACTAATGTTCAGGGAGAGAGATAAAGGGAAAGTTAGCTAATTAAAAGGTCAATATAATTTAATGTCTGCATTATTGGACTTTCCTGTGCCGTATACGCAAGTCGGTTATACTTTCAAACTAATGCCATTATCACAACTAACTTAAAACTGATTCTCCTGGAGCCCTGCTGACCTATATTTGAGGAAAGTATACATGTGTCGGAAAAATGCCAAATTTTTCATTCAACTCAGGTCTGGAGCATTCTCCACGCGTTTGAAATGACAGAAAGGGATTCGTATTTCTGAAACGTGTTCTAAACTGACTCCTGGTTTGCAGAGAGCTCACGGGCGGAACCTGTGAATGTGCTGGTATTGTCAGAAACATCGCCTCTTTAGGAGCCGTAACTGTAACTACCTTCCCATCCCCCTCAGCTCCCAGGCCAGTACTTGCTGCTGCCGTTATCACGACAACAACGACGGGACAAGTGACTTCGGAAAGTGCAGCACCACCCATGTCCACGCAGAGGCCAGACGCGGGGGAGGGGGCCCCGCTGACTCACCACTGGGCCGTCCTGTGCGCGTCCCCACCGCTGGCTTGTTGGGGGGTTTGGTCATGGACTCGATGTACAGCTGCTGCCCCAGGGTTTTAATTTTATTTACACTGGCATAGACCTGCTGCAAAGTCAACTTGGGGAAAAGAACGAAATATGTCTCACATATGATCACATGAACATTACAAGATACATGAGCAGAATACATGAAACTTCTGGTTCCCCGAACACGCGGTGATGAAAAGCACAGGAATGGCCTTAGTTCCATCTCCCACCAGTTCACCTGACAACAACACACATCTGTGCACATCTGCTGGTCTGCAGAAAGCACACTATTAATGCAACCACCACTTTCCAAGGGGAGGTTTTCTTTTTACAGTTTCCCATGCCAGGGTGGGTGGGAATGGCTCCCAGCAGGCAGGGCTGCGGGTCCAGGGGACTCTGAGCTACAGGCCAGCCCCGCGACGCCTCGCAGGCGCCAGGGTTGGGGAGAACCGGGCGCCACCCACTCACCGGCTCCTTCTGGGCGTCCTCCGCCCCCGGCCCGCTGGACTCGCCGGAGGAGGCCACGCTGACGTGCTGCTCCTGGGACCCGCTGCTCCCCAGGCTGCTGTAGCCACTAGAGGTGCTCCCGTGGACTGGCTGCAAGGACACAGGTCCGATTTGGGGGTTACTATCTTGTGGTCGGGTCGGGGTGGGGGGGACGCAGCACGACCCACTCAGAGCTTACCTAAACTCATCAGAAAATAAGACTAATATTTCTGACACCCTAAAGTAGGCTTGCGAGGGTTGATGCTTTTAATCCTATGTCTGACGTGAAAGACAGTCCCCTCATTTCAGTAATTTTCAAGGGCAAAGTCTAGTTTCTAATCTAAGTGGGTATTTCTGGAATGGAAAATACTGTTTTAAAGCCATAATATAATTTTCCCAAATATGAAAATCACTTGTTCTTTATGCTGGGCTTAAAGCAGACAGAACAAATGAAATACACACCCCAGTCCCCCACGGACTTGACCGGTGCTTTACGGACCCGGAGCGTCTCTGAAAGACCTGCCACGCCAGCAGCACATCAGAAGTTTATGACTGAATCTCTAACGGAAACCATTTTGGGTATTTGTTTTCAACAAGCAGTTTTTCCTACTTTTGCCTCATAACAACCAGATACTGAGACCGGCCAGGCTCGCCCCACCTTTAAAATGGGAACCATCCCCAAAAATCCCAAACCCGAGGCTGAGCCCCGGGGGAGCCTGGGACACAGGAAGAATTCTCTCGCTCAGAAATGACTTCTCTGTCTCACCGCTCACTGTGACTCAGTTTTGTTGTCTTAAAATGGGTTTTTACAGAATATTCTGTGCATTTAACATAGAAAAATGAAAAAAAGATTAATAAAGTTTCCTTTAAAAACAAAAAAGAGGAAGACAGAGATTTCTGGACTGCAGAGGGTCAGGATCTTTCTCTGCAGCTTATTTTTGTGAAGTGACTTTACTAGACAGAATGTTAAAATAAAACACAATTATGGGAATTCTATGTTCATTTTTTAAATCTCCCCCATTTTACCTGTAACAGAAGTTTGTGAATCTGTTCCTGTAATTCCGTTATGTCTTTGTCGTTATTGTCCATCTTGCTTATTCTGGCAGCAAAAACATCCTCGTTCAGCGGACTCCTACAAAACAACACATGAAAGACTGGGTCAGGCGATTTAAAATTCATTTACAGCGCGGCCGGCATGGCTCGGTGGTTGAGCGTCGACCTATGAAACAGGGGGTCACGGTTCCATCCCCACTGTGGGGGGTGCAGGAGGCAGCCAATCAATGAGTCTCTCTCACCATTGATGTTTCTCTCTCTCTCTCCCTCTCCTTTCCACTCTGAAAAGGCAAAAAAAAAAAAAAAAAAAATCTTACCCATAATCCCACTACCCCACACACAACCAAAAAGTCTATTTTATTTCCTTCTAATCTTGTCACATTTCATGGTTAGTGTGTGTGTGTTTTAGATGTAATTTTAATCATATGGTATAAATAACTTTATATGCTTTTTACATCTAATATGTCAACTTCCCATGTTCTACAATCTCTGTAAAAATTTTTCTTGACCAATATAACATGTCAAGGAGACATTCCAGTTTAGTTAACGACGGACATTTGAGCTACTCTAAGTCGGCCATTACGATTGTGTTGCAAAACACATCTTTTTTAAAACAACAGCTTTTCTGTGTTTCACCACGTTTCCCTGGAACGTCCCTAGAAGGGAAGCATCAGGCCGGGAGGGAAATCGCTAGTGGAAACTGCTTGCGGAGAGCACTGGGAGTGAGTCCGTCCGTCTGTCCACCCGTCCGTCCGTCCGTGTGCTGCCTGATCGAGGGGGGGAAGTGGAGGCAGGAATGACACCTGGTAAGAGAGTTTCTAGAAAACGAGGAAACTGGTGGACTCACGTCCGCACTTTGTGCCGGCCCATGATGAAGGACACCTTCCGGCTCCACGGGTCCACGAAGCCGGACCAGCTGGAATCCAGGATGACGTAGTCGCCGTTGTGTGTGCAGAAGCGAACGGCGCGGTGCTCAGAGGGGGCGCGGCCTGCGGACCGCAGCACTGCACCGGAGGGGACGGGAGAGGAGCTTACACACACGTGATGACAAACGTCACTGTTAGGCAGTCACTGTTAGGCAGTTAGGGGTCAATGTTCGGAACGTCCAAGTAGGAAAAAAAGGTGTGTGAGCAGTTTCCACACATTGCTCACCAGATTAAAGTAAAGGTTAAGCTCTAGTAAGAAATGAAAACAAATTCGATCAACGATGAAAGAAAGAACCTCCTGCCCAGGCAGCAGCCCTCACCTTCCTGGTGGACGGCGACCATCAGAGCGCGGTCTTCCGGGTGCAGGTGCGCGAGGATGGACGTGCCGACCAGGTCCTGCGGCAGGTACCCCAGCAAAGGCACGGCCCTGGGCAGACGCACAGGCCACCGGTGAGACAGTTACACTTTAAAAACACTCCTTTCCTTCATTTTAAACTCGAGTCAACAGATACATTGGAGAGAGCGCCTGGGAAGGCACACGGGCATTTCTTTGATTATTGGCAGCTGAATCCAGTGGCGTTTGGCAAAGCCACGTCCTGGAAACACGCTTTGCCAAAAGGCAGGAGTGTTGTCAGCTTGACCTTCAGCCCAGGTGCCAGGGGGTGGGTTTCGTTATTTAAATCCAGCCAAGCACCAGGAATGAATACGACTCGGGCCCACCCAAGAATGCACATAATCTCCTTTGTCTTGACTTTTAGTAAAACTTCCTGTTTTTTGCTGTATAAAATAAACACGCTGTATTGGCTCTGGGTCCCTGTCCCTGTCTCTCCATTAGAGGACAGTGGTCCCACCCAGCCCCAGCTTTTTCCTTCCACCTCTTTGTCTGTCTCTTTCTTTCATTTTCTCAATCCCCAGCCGCCCCTACTCAGGAACTGGACTGCTCTCTAGCAGCGCTGGACGTGGAGAAGAGAGAAATATTCACGGTACATAAACACTATGGGGAACAGTCACATAACCTAAGAAAGGCTGCCATCTGCATCGAAATCATGCTGGGCACCTGCTCACACAGACTGTCTCGCCGCCAGTGAATGGCAGAATGTCGGGGGCGAGGCCGGGAATCTGTGTATTTACAAGGTCCTCAGAGGTCCTCGAGGGCCTCCATTCGCTGCCATTTACATTTACAAAGATCGCATCCTAACACAGAAACATGCTCAGGATGTTGAATGAAGGAAGCACGCTACACATGTGTACAGTATGATGACAATCACACAAAACGACGCAAAAGGTCATCCAATGATGTGGGCCCAAGGCTCCCGGAAACGGCTCACGCCAAAGGCGCCACACGACACTCAGGGTGACTGGGAGCGACCCAACTCCACACACATGTTTGCTGTGCACAAGTTCACAAACACTGTCTAAGGCAGTGATGGCGAACCCATGACACGCGTGTCAGAGGTGACACGCGAACTCATTTTTTTGGTTGATTTTTCTTTGTTAAATGGCATTTAAATATATAAAATAAATATCAAAAATATAAGTCTTTGTTTTACTATGGTTGCAAATATCAAAAAATTTCTATATGTGACACGGCACCAGCATTAAGTTAGGGTTTTTCAAAATGCTGACACGCCGAGCTCAAAAGGTTCGCCATCACTGGTCTAAGGCAATAACATATCAGCTGTTTTCAAAATATCCTGGTTAAATTATCCTGCTTTCTACAGATTATATTATACGAAGTGTCTCACCAATTACTACTTACCTCAGGGTAACTGTAAGGAAATAAACCCATTTTTAGATGTTAAGATTTTTAAAAATCAACATTCACGTATCGTAACCATGCCAAGTTTTTGACACTTTTGCTTCACACCTCCATGAGGTATGAGGCTTGCTATCCAGGTTTTGAGATTTCATGAATAAGAAAAAAATTTAAAATAAACTGGGGGGAAATGGAAGGCCCTAATCAGGGGGTAACAATGTCTTATCATTTTTTCAAATAAAGATCTTAAAAAACAACAATAAGCAACTACTATTCATCATCACTGTTCTTTCAATAAAAAGGATTATTTTAACATTTAAAGAAGTAGGAAGGACGACCTAAGTTCAAAATAAGTAAATTTAGTTTCACACACACAAAAAAATCTGTTCTTTTCTCTCCCCAGCCCCCTTAAAAAAGGAAGTCATGAGCCGGCGGGAAGCAGCTGTGCCGTGGAAATGGCCCTGGAAGAGGTGCGGGGCCGGGGCCCCCCTGTGATTACATCCCACACGTGCTCCTGGCACACTGGCCCCAGCTTCACCGTCCTCCAGTGTAAACGGAACAGTAACAACTGACTCACCTAAAGCAGCTGGGGATCAAACATAACTTGTGAATGTGAGAAGTGTCGCAGGCAAGGTGTTTATGTTAAACATTTAGACCAAGCATGTCAAACAAAAATCAAACAGATAATGGGTAGATATCATATATGTAATGTAGGAGCATGTGAGCGTATGTAAACCTTTTCACATTTGTATTTAGTCCCAGAAACAGATCTCTCTTAGGCTTAAAGAAGCACTTACCGGTCATCTATTTCAAGAAAAACACAGCCTGGAGTGTGTGTTGTGGTGAAAATTCTTTTATCCACGGGGATCCGAGGAGCTAGGAAACAAGCATCTAGTTAATCATCCACTTCACGGGAAACGGTGAAATCTCACGTACGGCCTGGCCTCGGAGCAGCCAGAGCGACATCAGATGGTAATGATTTTCATCATTACTTACATTTTTTTCTCTCTTTTAAAAATAATTTTTAAATTGATTTTAGAGGAAGGGAGAGAGGGAGGGGAGGGGAGAGGGAGAGGGAGAGAGACATCGATGGGGGAGAGAAACACTGATCAGGTGCCTCCCACATGCACCCTGACTGTGGAACAAACCCGAACCCTGGGTATGCGCTCCGACTGGGAATCGAACCTGCCACCTTTCGGTGCGAGGGACAATGCTCCCACCAGCTGAGCCACACCAGCCAGGGCATCATCTACATTTTAATCAGGTCAAATGCCATGCCTACCAAAGTTAACTTTAGACAGAGGAAGTCTGTGTGCACGGACCAGCCTGCTCATTGCAGATCATCTACTGGTCAAGCTGGAGCACCTTAGGGTGCAGGAGCAAGCAGCTCAGCACACAGGACTGGACAGCCAACAGGACAGGGGCGTGTAAATCTGTGTAATAAAGCCGGTACGGTCAGGTCAGCCACGGCTGCTTTGAAAACGTAGTGGCTAACACATTAGGGAACCATGTGAGCATAATGCTAACTCTGCATTTGCTTATGCATGATTTCATCTGCAAAAAAACGAGGTGAATGCAGGAAGCATCTAACTGAATGGAGTCACTTGGGACTGCACACACCTCACACCCACCTCTTCCTCCACGCACTGGTGTTACGGGACACGCCTGTCAATCTGACGTCAGAACTTCAGACAACCCTCCTCCACCCTCACAATCACCCCCATGGCCCCGCCCACCAGCAAACTGGGGCTTTCCACGGTGAGGAGCCCCATGCGCTGTATGTACTGTTGGTGGATTCCTCTTCTTTCCACATTTAAACATTTTTATTTTCAATTACAGCTGACACTCAGTATTACTTCATATTAGTCCCAGGAATATAGCACAGTGGTTAGACAATTATAATTTATGAAGTGATTGCCCCAACAATTCTAGTACGTTTTACTATATTCTCCAAGCTATACTTTACATACTTTGTATTTTGTAACTGCCCATCGGTACTTCTTAATCCCTTCACCTTTCCACCCAGTTTCCTCAACTCCCTTCCCATCTGTAACCCTGTATTTGTCCTCTGTATCTGTGAGTCTGTATCTGTGATTTGTTTGTCCATATGATCCTTCAGATTTCGCCTATCAGTAAAATCACATGGTATCTGTCTTCATCTCACAGCATAGTACCCTCTAGGTCCATCCATCTTGTACAAATTTCATTCCTTTTTATGGCTGAGTAATATTCCATTACTAGAGGCCCGGTGCACAAAATCTGTGCACAGATAGGGTCCCTAGGCCTGGCTGGCAATCAGGGCCGATTGGGGCCTTCCTTCCCTGGCTGCCGGCTGGGGCTTTCCTTCATTCCGCGCCGCCCCCCTGGTGGTCAGCACATGTCATAGCAAGCAATCGAACTCCTGGTCGAACTCCTGAAGGGACAATTTGCCTACCGGTATTAGGCTTTTATGTATATAGGAGATATATATACATCTTCTTTATACAATCATTTGTTCAAGGGCACTTAGGGTGCTTCCATATGTTGGCTATTATAAACAATACTGCAATGAACATGGGGATGCATATTATCTTTTCAAATTAATGTTTTGAATTTCTTCAGATATACACCCAGAAGGGGAGTTGCTGAGTTATATGGCCGTTCTATTTTCAATTTTTTGAGGAAGCTCCATACTGTTTTGCATAGTGGCTGCACCAATTTCGTGTCTTAACCATTGTTATCATTCTCATAGGCTTCTGTTTTATTTCTAACGTGTGGTTAAGTCTTCGAGCACTGTGCCCCCAACGTCATTTCCCCAGAAGCCCTGTGGCTCCCCTTCTGTGTGAGTTCTCGGCACAGGACGGTCAGCAGGACTGACTGTGCGGGAGCTGCTTCTGACTCACACGGAACATAAGCCTGTAGCCCTGCCATCAGGACACATAAGCCACTAAAGAGCTGACATTTACACACAGGAGGAACCAGGGGTTTCAAACACTTTAAAAGCACAAAGCCATTCCTGTGACTGCACTGTGCAACCATGTTCATGCTCCTATTTCACGCAAGACAGTGCACAGGGCCGCCGACTGGCAGCAGCAGAGGAGGAGAGGGCCGGTCCCTGCTGGGCCTCGGCCTGCGGTCTGTCCATGGAGGGGGCACCGCACAGACGTCGAGGTCAGTAAACCGGCCGCAGTGCGCAGAGGGCAGGCCACGCCGAAGGCCGGCGCACTGCCTGTCCCCGCGGCAGCGAACGGGTATCCCCGGGACCCCACCGATAGCAGCCCCCCTTCCCCGCCACTCACCTTCGTAGCCAGAGTGCATCTTCTCGGCCAGCGCAAGGCAGCAGGGCTCCGGCTCCGGCTCCGACTGCGGCCGCACGTGAATCAAATAGGGAATCACCCGGAACGGGGCGTAACGCTGCCCTCGGCTGCCGCCTTCGCTGCACGAGAAGGAATGGCTCAGCCAGTGAAACGGCTGGAAAACACTTCCCTGTCATTTCTAAGAGACACACAGCCCCAACTAAAATATGTAAATGTATTTATTTTCCGAAGAAGAAAAACATTTGTTTAAAATGTCAGCACCCAAGGGCAAGTCCAGCCTCTCGCTCTGCACGCGCAGGTTTGGTGGAGCTGGTCGGATCCTGCGGATCCCACGAGTGTGGGATCGGCACTGGGCACTCCACGCCTCTCCCCGACCTCCCCACCGAAACTCCAGCCAGACCCCCTGCGTCCGCTGGGGGCGAGGGCTCTCCGTGCCAGCCACGCACGGACGGCCCGACAGCCGTCTCCAGCCGGGTTCCTCCCCGAGCGCCAGCCAGACTCAGGTGCCAGTGCCTCGTCAGACACCACATTTTATTGTGAAAGTAACAGTAACACGATGTAACAGTAACATGTCGGTAAACTTAGAGGAAAATAAATTCACTAAAATTCCTATGAGAAATCAAGGATTACAATGTTGGTCTATTTTCCTCTAGTTTAGTATCTCTGGACCTTATAAATCCTTGTCATAAATATACCTATCTTGCTTTCTTTCAAGTTATTCAAAATGTCAAAAATTAATTTTAAATGTGATGAAACAACAAAAAACAAACAAAAGAGCCCAAACAGTGGTCATTTGAAAGTGTACTGGGCCCCGCCGGCGTGGCTCAGTGGTTGAGCATCTAACTATAAAACCAGGTGGTCACGGTATCAATTCCCGGTCAGGGCACAGGCCTGGGTTGCAGGCTCGATCCCCAGCGTGGGGCGTGCAGGAGGCAGGTGATCAATGATTTTCTCTCATCATTGATGTTTCTCTCTCTCTCTCTCCCTCTCCCTTCCTCTCTGAAGTCAAAAAAAAAAGAAAAGAAAATAAAGTGTCCTGAACCACCAGGGGTTCTTTCACCCCCAGGGTCACCGTGACCTGCCCCTCTCTCCTCCTGCTGCATCATCATCTGCTCTTCCCAGGAGGGGGTTTCTTCCCCTCAATCAAAAGACAACCTCCTGTGGCAAGAACCAAGTCTTGGCTTTGGTTTCCACAACAGGCCTGGCGAACACAAAAGGACCAACGTGAGAGCCAAGTCCAACCGGAGCGCAGCCGCGCGGGCCCCGCAGCCCTCACTCACCGGATCCTGCAGAAAAAGGACTTCACGGGAGCCAGTTCGTACTGCGACGCTGCGGAGACAAAGACAGACTGTCACGCACCCGCAGGGCGACCGCAGAGCAGCCGTCCTCATGGCACCAACAAGACACTGTCTTTAAGACGGAGACGCTGGTGAAGACGGGCCTCCCTGCCATCCGAGATGCAGGCGCCTCCGGGGTTCCCAACAGGAGCCCCGGGGAGGCCGTGCGCGTCAGGCTCAGTCTCCCCCTTCCTCCTCCCACCGGCCCCGCTGTATTCCCATCGCTGCCGAACTCATCCCTTCCACGCCAGTGCGACAGCCCTTTACACCACCGTGCGTGGTAACACCCGCTCCACTGCGATCGCCTGGACACGGATACACAGTCCTCCTTCCCCACTCCCCTTCCTTGGACACATTCCCCAAAGTTGTGTTCCTGGGTTCAGGGACGTGATCGCTTTAGGACTCGTGTGTTGGCAAACGAACGTGCGGATGGGACCCCCTGGCAGTGTCGCTACCACACCGCTCACTCCTCGCGGCCATGGTGCGCATCAACTGCGCGGATTTTTGCACGGACTTCATCGATCTGTGACGTGGTCACTCAGAAATGTTTACCAGTAACTGTGCTAACTCCGGGCAGCGGAGGGGCTGGCCTCTCCCAGGGGTTTGCTGACTGTTTCCTCTGGTCGGAACTCCCTGAATGTGTCTTCTGGGCATGTGTTCACTGGAGGGAAAGTCCTGACTTTAGGAACAAGGAGAAGGCTCGTGCACCGAAGGAGCACAGGCAACGGGAATTCTAAGAACCGAGCCCTGACTGCGGCCCAGGTCTTCTCACTTCCCGGGAAAGGGTCGCAGGAGGCGCCGGAACACGGGCTGCGGTGACCAGGACAATGCCCGTGAGGAAGACGACTCCCGTGTCCACGCCCAGGCCAGTGGTCAGACTGCCAGCCTGCAGGCAACCGAGTCGGAGCCCAGAGTCCGACGGCAGAAGACAGTTCTCACGGGGCGTCTGGGGGACCCCGTGAGAGAACCCGACCGTCAGCTGAGTTCGCAACGTGAGGTTACGCTGCCGTCTCAACGCAGACACTGCTGAGGCGCAGACAAGCTCCCGGAGGGTGACGGTGGGCAAGGATCAAACACGCTCCAAGTTCCGAGATGATTTCACAGGCAGGAGCCACCGCCTGGCACCACTGTCACACGCTCTTGTTTGCTCACGGCTCCCCGTGAGTGACAGCCCGGCAGGGGGCGGGGCCGTGGGCAAGAGCAGGGCTCTGGGCTCCTGGCCACGGTGACCTCGGGCTCCGCACGTACTGGCGGTGACCTCGGTGAGTCACCTGCTCTGCGCCTGTGACTGTGGTGGCTGAGCAAGGGGCCGGCTCCTGGCTGCAGGGACACAGGCCGCTCCCAGCCGCCCCCTGTGCACAGCGGGGCCCGAGGCCGGCCACTCCAGGGAGGCAGCCTCCTCCATGCGCGCCTGCGGCCTGGGCCTCCCCGTGGCTGCCTGGCCACGCCAGCTGCTCTGGGCTGTGCAGGGGCCCAGGAGGGCTCCTCCCAGCCTCCTCCCACAGGCACAGCCCCGCGCTGGGCGGGGGCCCTCCCGTAAGTCTCGTGCACAGCTAACCCCATCCTGACATCTGCCTCTCGGCCGACCCCAGTGAACAACTACCTCACCTGTCAGCGGGGACGCTGAGGGTGCCCAGGCCTCACAGGTTCTTGTGAAGATTAAATCCCCTAAAACAGGAGGAAGAGCCCCGGCACACAGTCCCCGTCAACAGAGCGGCAACTACGACGACCCTGATGCTGTGCGGTGTGCAAAGCTCCCAGCTTTCCCGCCCGCTCGCGGGGACCTTACGGCGGCCCTGGCCTGGGCCGGTCAGAAGCCACTGCACACTGAGAAGCCAGGCGGCCTCCAGGTTCATCAGGGACAGAACTCCGTGTCACACGCACACCAGGTCCCAGCGTGAGATTCTCCGCACAGAGAGGCCCTGAGCTCCACGCAGGCGGACTCCCTGCACCGCCTCTTCGTGACGGCAGCCCCCGCGCAGCCCCCCTCCCTGGGAGCCTCGTGACACAGAGCCGACCAGGTGGTGGCACAGACGGGCCCTCGGCGGCGGGTGCCACTTCTCCTTTCTGGGTGCATTTAAAGGAACCGTGGTCGGCGCCTCGGCACGACCACAAGGGGAAGCTGAGCCAGGCTCTACCGCAGGCCGAACGCTGACAGCAGCGGCGGGGTGGCTTCCCACGGCCTCGTCATGTCCCATGAGCTCAAAGGGAGGGACAGGTGCGAGGAGCACACGCACAGCCCCACGAGCTGGGACTCGACAGCTGCGCTCGGAAGGCAGGGCTCGAGGTCTGCGGGCGGAAGTGCGAGGCGGGGAGCACACCAGGCGGAGGTCCTCTCAGCGGAGGAAGCGAAGGGTTAGTTTACAAGAGAGTTTCAGGCCACATTCTGCTGTTACAAGGAGGGGAAACCCACAGCAATAAGCAGTCAGCAAGGAGGAAAAGGTTGGAGAGAGAAGACGGAGACTCCACAGGTGAAGAGGGAGGCGCACACGGGGGAACACAAGCGAGCGAGCAAGCGGCAGACACTGCTCGGCTGCTCTGCTCCCGCCTCGACTGCAGCACCTGGGACCGGGCCTGGCCCTCAGTGATCGTGGGTAAATGATTACGGGAGGAATAAGTGACTAATAAACGCAGAGAAACACTATAAACAATGAAAGGCCGAACACATGCGTTCAGGACAGAAGAAGAGGAAGGAAATCAGTGCTGTTGCGTGACGCCAACAGGAGAGGGAGCCAGGAGGAAGCCGGGACGACAGGTGTGCGTTCTACAGCTCACACAGTTTGTGCATTAAGGATGGGCCACGGCCTGGGCCGGGAGAGAAGCCAGCGAGACTGCACTGGGCCCAGCACCGGGTTAAAAACCAGGAGGACACGAGCTCCACCCGCAGGAGAGGCTCGGAGACGCTTCACAGCAGCGAGCGTGCCGACACCACGGCCGCGCGCTGATGGGGGTAACGCGGCCAGTTCTGTTCATGTGTTTTCTACAACAAGAAGTGAAATCACAGAGAAGGACCATCTCTAGCGAGCTCTGTAGGAGACGCTTCACAAAGAACGCGAGGTGGGAGGGAGACGAACAGCAGCAATGACGGGTCACTTAGAGACCACACAGGACCGATGTCACAATAAGTGGCAAACAGGCCGCCCAGGTCAGAAGAACAAGTAATGAGATTCCTGACCTTGTACGGACAAGAAAAGCGGGAGAAGAAAGCTAACCCTCAGAAACTTATCTCCAAAGCAGAGCTCACACATAATGAAGCCAACATAAGAGGAAGAACATTTAATTCCACTCCCTTCACAGAAGCAGAGCCTTGATAGCGACTAACCTGCTATGCAGGCTGTGGCGATCACGCTGTGTTATGATTTATACTCTATGAAATCAACTGGACTACGTGAAAGCAAATTTACTGAATCTCTATGTTTTTAGGAGCATTTAAAGTGTTATTGTCATCACACGCTGCTTTTTAAAATAAGGAAGTAAGAAAAGCCGCTCCGTCTGCCTGTTCTGAATGATGCATGGGTTTCTGCGCCGCCTCTGGGGCAGGAACGCGGCCTCTAGGAGGCGGGGAGACATGTACAGACGGGCCCGTTACCTCTTTGGGTCCAGCTGCTCCAGACGGGAAGCTGAGCGTGGGCCGTGTGCGTGTAGAACACCCTCACATCTTGAGGGGCAAGCAGCTCCGCGAAGTGAGAGGACGCCAAGGACTCTCTCCGACAGCTCAGGATGGAAGGCGCCTGCTCGGAGATGTGCACCACCCTCCCAGACACCAATGAGAACACGGCCACGAAGGTGTCCTGTGAAAAGCATGGAAAATAAATGCAAATATTGAGATACTTACTAGCCGTGCCCCCCAAAAGGTAATTCTCCTAGATTTCTACCGTCATCAATAGCTCAGGACACACACTTCCTGCAGAGGCAACAGAGCTCTCCACATGTACTTTTAACTGTCACCACAAAGCCTTCTGAAGGTTTGATTTCTGGGCCAAGAAACACGGCAGCTCCCTCTACAGGACGAAGCACCCCTCCACTGCGTCTACGCCGACTTCGATCCCTCCTCCTCCTCCTGTGCACACGGTGCCGACACCTGGAGGCTGTCTCCTCTTCACCAAAGCACAGTCCAGGCTTCAGACCAAGCTCAAGAGTCACCTCCAAGGTGTGGTCTTTAACCAGCCTCCTCACCTAAGAACTGCTTCTCGAATGTGTGACAACAGACATGCATAGAACTTAGCTTAACCACCCACTGCCGCTGCTGCTGGCCTGGCCGACGTTTTCCTCCCTCGCTTGATTTTAAAGACCTGCAAGAGGAAATGTGTTCTTACACTTCCTTTTCTTAAATCTCAATAGCACCTACTATGTGCTATGAGCACACCAGTCAGTAATGGAAGCACTACGGTGACATTAGGGATAGCTCAGGTCCCGATATTAGAAAACCTTTTTGTTGCAATTGTGTTGCAATCTAAACATAAAGGTAAGTAGCCTCCAGCATATCAACAAAACACGAAGTGACATTATTCTGTCGACAGAGATTCAAAAGGGATCTACTACATGTCTCTTCCAACATTTTTTAAGAAATGACAGCATCATCTTGACTCACCTGTGAAATCCAGTTGTTACAACTTGAAGGAGTAGGTATTGGAACTAAGAATGATATAAATAGAAATTAACAATTCGGAGATTAGAATACGACGCGGGACACTACTCTGCAGTGTTATCTTTGTCTTGGAGAGAACTCGGGGATGCTAAGGAGACAGAGGCGCCTCAGGACCGAGGCGAAGCCAAGTGCGCCTGCGCTGCTTCCTGCCCGCGGACCTGCTCCCCGCGAGGGACCTGCTCCCCGGCGAGGGCCGGGGCAGCGACACGGGGCCTCTCGGGCAGTTTTCTCCTCCTGTTTACCTCCAACTGTGGCTACTGCGACTCTTAGTTATTGTTTTTTAAAATCTGTGTCTAGATCAGGCTGTTAGGAAAATCCCCCAGGAGGAGATGGCAAAATGCGCGGATTCTTACTGTGTTCTTGGAAGTGTGCTCTGCAGCCATGGAGGCCAGCTCCTCAAGACTGTACATGGTCACATCTGCTTGAGGCGCTCCATTGGGACTGAGAATCTGGAAAAACTCACTGCTTGCTAAGAAACAGGAAAATAAATAGGTAGTCCAGTGAAAACAGCAGCGCCAGGAAACCACGTTTCTGACTAGCAAAGCTGGCGTTTCTCAAGAGGGCACCTCCACCTCCGTGTTTTCCTCGAAACCAGGTCACTTTCTTCTTTCACCTGAAATACCTATCGCTGTGCAAACTTAAGATCTTGAGTCTTAGGAATCTTGCATGTTCTAGTTCGCAAGGAACAGAACACTGAAGGTCCTAAAGGGGGGACTGAACCCCAACATTCCAAATGCACACACAGGGCGTTACCACGACAGAAGCAAAGCCCCTGAGGTTGGGCTAGAGATTGTGTACTTTACGAAATCCCGTGAGAAGAAAAGTCAGAGATCGAAAGGAAAAAGTGTTTATAATTGCGCCTTCGTAATTTGGCAAACTCCTGGTACTGTCAGGAGTGCATTTTAAAAGTAAGTGTGAGGCAGGGAAAGTGTGAAACCGGTATTTAGCCAAATGTATTTTCCCCTTAATATCCACAGGAGGCGACGCTCCTTCAAAATGTGCTTGTGCTAAACTCGACTCTCCTGCGAGAGACACGCACAACACCGCACCCCGCTATTACACAAATCGGGGTCTCCCAGAATGAAGGACCAAGACCCTGTCTCCCAGAATGAAGGACTAAGACCCTCATGGACTCGCTCATCCTCCCTAAAACACCATAAAAACCTGAAAACGCTTCTGTGACGGCAACCACACTGACAGCTCCTCGGGCCTGGCTGCCGTCCCTGAGCAAGGGCGTCCCTGCGACGGCGCTCTCTCCGGCTTGTTTACCTTGTACGCTGTGCACACAGCGAGGGCATAGTTGAGGGCATCCAGGGTGCTCGGTTTATGGTGTCTCCCCGACGGGAAGTATTTTTTTCATTTTCTTGGACAACCGTGATCAGTTCTTCAGAAACTCTGTTCCGGTCTTGCCGTTCGCTGTAAGATCAAAACAAACTCACGCTTTCCGTTTCAGCAACGGCCAAACTTTTATTGAACAGCCTGTTACGTGCCAAGCAACTTTCTAAGCGCTTAGCGTGGAGCAAGTCTGAGTTCACAGGTTTATCTGTCTTACAGGTGGGGGAATGCCAGCCAAGGAACCTGGGAACCGTGGCCACACATTTCCCACTCCCCTTCCCACCCCAGCCTCCACTCAGCTAAATTCCTGAACCCCTCCTCATCTACTTCTTCGGTAATTTACTTGCTTCCCAGAGCATTTCATTCCAGGTTCCCCGAGGTAATTTACTTGCTTCCCAGAGCATTTCATTCCAGGTTCCCCGAGTTCCCGCCCTAAACTTGCTCCTAGGCTTGCTTACAAACAAAACAAAAAGACCTACATCCTCTGATCCCTTTTACAACAGGAAAAACAAACCAACCAGGTTGTAAGTATCACCTGTGGCTGCTCTCCAGGTATTTGCTCGGAAGCTGGTATTTCTGGCTCCACCTTTCATCAGAGTCTTTCCCCGGGCCTGGGGGCGGGGCTGGCCCTGGGTCCTGCAAGGTCATCAGGGGGTTGGGTGCCGCTGGACCGGGTTCTGCAAGGTCATCAGGGGGTCCTGCAAGGTCACCAGGGGGTTGGGTGCCGCTGGCCCGGGGTCCTGCAAGGTCATCCGGTTCAGTACCCTCGGGGTCAGGAGATTGACTGCTGGACATTCTTAGATCTTCGCGACAGTCTTAGCCTGTTGCCTGCTTCTTTCCTAGTTTGTAACCAGCGACAGAAATTTACTTCTCACTCTGGTCCATGCGCCCTTGCTACAGGGAAAACGATCGGCCAACACAAATCGGCGATTACTGATCTCGGGTCATCGGGAGGCGGTTCTCTCCAGTGTTTCCACACAATCGTGGGGGTCTCCGCTCACGGGAGGTCCAGCCTGGGGGTGGGGTGGGGGGAGAGAAAAGTGACCAATGTTAAGCGAAACGGGCCACTGGACGCGGGAGACCGGGCTGTGGCTCGCCGGCTGGGAGCCCTGGAGGGGACTCCACTTGCCCGCCGCAGCCCTGCAGAGCTGGCGCGCGCCAGAAAGGGGACCCGGTGAGGCGCGGACGGGCAGCTTCACGTACAAAGTTTCGGGGACCCCAAGTTCGCGGGCGGTGCTGCCGGACCGCGGTCCCAGCCCGGAGGGCAGGCTCGGGACAACCTGCGGCCGGACCCCAGCACTCACCCGCCGCCGTCTGCGTGGCCGCGCGAGGGACCCAATGCCCCGCTCGTCCAGCCCCGCGGGGCCGTGGAGTCCCGAGGCCCGCCGCGTGCAGCAG